AATTTAATTTATACATTAAAAATTTTAAATTTAATATTAAATTATTAAAATTTAATTTAAAATATAAATTTTTAAATAAAATAATTCGAGTGATTCTTTTAGCATCAGAAATGGTACTATTAAATTAACTGTGTCTGACCACTTTTCTTGTGTTAAATTATTTTTTTGAAGAAAATCCAAAGAAGTGAGAGCTATATAAGACTAATTGGTCAGCGCATTGAAAAGTATGAGCGAGAGTGAGGAGTGAGGAGAAGGTTAGGTTTGTTTGATTTGATCTTTGGGTAGAAAATGAAAAGGGAGATGGAGATGGAGATTGAGGCGAGCGTGCTTGCCGTTGAGGGCATCCTACAGTACACATTCAAGAACAAGAAGCTTCTGGAACAAGCCCTCACTCACTCCTCCGTTGCCGACGCCGTTTCCTACGAGCGTCTCGAGTTCATCGGCGATCCCATTCTCAGCGCCTCCGTCAGCTACTACTTTTACGTTAAGTACCCCGACCTCGAGCCCGGCCACCTCTCTCTCCTCCGCGCCGCCATGGTCAGCACCGAAAAGCTTGCTCGCATCGCCGTCCGCTTCGGCCTCCACCACTTCGTCCGCCACAACGCCTCTCCCGTCCTCGACAACGTCACGCGCTTTGTCGAGGCCGTCCGCCACGAGCGCCTCTCCGGCGCCGTCGCCTACGCCGGATCTGTCAAAGCCCCCAAGGTCCTCGCCGACATTGTCGAGTCCATCGCCGCCGCCGTCTACGTCGACCTCGGCTTCGACCTTCCTCGACTCTGGCTGGTACAGTCTGCCTAATCAATAACCTAATTAATAATAAAGATTATTAAATGAAGTTATAATTAAATTCATTGCAAATTACAATCAATTGATAATAATGAATGATAGCATTTATGAACGAGTATTATTTATTAGGGTTTTTCTTGCTTGTTTGTGAATTGTGATTGTGGCAGGTGATTAAGCATCTGATGGAGCCAATTGTGACGCCGGATGAGTTGGAGCAACAGCCTCAGCCAGTGACGAATCTGTTCGAGATATGTCAGAAGAATGGAAAGGTAGTTGATATAAAATTCTCCAGGGAAGATAACAAATGCGTTGCGAGCGTGTTTGTTGATGAACAGCTTCTAGTCTCTGCATCCTCTGATCAGAAGTATCTGGCGAAGCTGGAGGCTGCGAAGCTGGCCTTGCAACAACTCTCACACATGGTGCCTAAAGCTGATGTGAGGCTCGTCCTTGGTCAGGACGAAGATGGAACTCTGATGGTGATGGCTGCAAAGCATAAGCTCCATGAGATTTGTATGATTAAAAAATGGCCTAAACCATTGTTCAGGTATCAAATATATAGCATTCATTTTCTTTCTGTGTGTATATGTGAGACTAACTTGTTCCTCTGCAATGGGTGGGTCACACTCACATCACAGGATGGAGAAGGATTCAGGGCCACCTCATGATAAGAGATTTGTCTTTGCTGTTCAACTAGCAACTCCAGAAGGCACCTATCAGATGTCGGGAGATGAAAAGTGTCGCGTGAGGGATGCGGAGAACTCAGCTGCTTCCTTTATGATTATGGCCTTACAGGAGTATAATTACATCTGAGATTCTGACTGAGACTGCCCAATGCTGTTTGTCCATGTGGCTCAATCACATGTAATGACTTTATTAATCTTTTTTATAAAGTAAAAAATATATATTTATGTCATCTACATCATAACATATGGTTGTGAGGAAAGAAATAAGTGACAATAGAATAAGAGAGAAATAGGAGAGGGAGAGAGAAATAAGTGAGAATAAATAAGGTTAAAATGAATTTGTTTGTTTAAGAAAATTAGATAAGAAATTGAATATAAATATTATTATAATGTTATTTGATTTGAATAGATGAAATTAAAAGAAATTATAATTAAAGAAAAATATAACTTTACCTTTCAAATTTTATCTTTTTAAGTTATGTATGTTTATTTTTTTATTTGATTAAATTCATTTTTATTTGAATAAATTAATTTTATTTAATTAATTGTATTCAAATAGTATATATATTATTCAAATACATTTAAATAAATATTTTATTAGAATGTTGTTTATTTAAATAAATAACATAGTTATTTGGATAGAACAATTGTAAGAGAGTTGTTTTATTCAAATAAACAACATTCAAATAAATAAGGCATTTGAATTTGAATAACATATAAATAACATTCAAATGACATATAAATTTGAATAAAAATATCATAGTTATTATTTGAGAGAACTTTATTTTTATTTCATATTTGGATGAAAGCGATGTTTTGGTAGAGATAAGAGAGTGACAAAAAATGAGTTCATCAATTCCTCTCAATTTTGAGAAGAAATTTACATGTGGAACTTACATATGTAAATTTTCCATCTAACACGACTTGTATTGACTAAATGAGTGCTAAAATTTTTATTATATTATTTTCTTTCTATTATATTTTGGTGGTATTTCATATCTATCAAACAAAGTGGTAGGGATTAACTTAGAATATGACAAATTAGTAATTTTATACTACTTAATAATTTAATTTTTTTTTTTGTGAAATCATAAAATTTGATTACTTTCACAATTTTTATTGAAATAGCTCACTTTTTTATGCATAATGGATCAAAATAACCGAGAAAAGTAACAGATTTTTCATCAATATGTTTTTATTTATTTAATAAACTGAATATATTTATTAAACTTTAGGAATTGAGTGCAAAGTTGCTCAAACCCATAAAGCAATATATAAAGAATAAAATGGCTCAGCACAAATAATATACACGCCACAGCCCACACGCACATGAACTGTTGCATTGCATACTTTTTTTCCCACGACTTCTGTTTACTTCAATTTGTTGCAAACAAACGAATTCAAAGGGATTTTAAAAATCAAAACATATATAAAATTGATTGAGAAGCGTGCATCAATTGGGCTTAAGTAATTTCAATGTATCAGTTCGAAATTTTTTGGAATTACGAGTCTTATAAGAGATTTTCGCAGCTTAATTACATAGGTAAATTTTTTGAAATTACGAGTCTTACAAGTGATTTTCGCAGCTTAATTACATAAGTAATTTTTTTTTATAGAAATATTTTGAAATTGATAATTTTTTAAAAAAATTATGGAAAACGATAAGTCAGGTTTCCCACACAATATACAAGAGTCAAGTTGTGTTTTAAAATATGATTTTTATTTTTAAATTTTATTAATATATTAAATGATATATATTTTATTCATATATTAAATGACATTTGTGTATCTTTTTTAATTATTACACCACTCAATAATTTTCAATTAAATGTGAATTTTATTAATCTAGTCATTGAATTATAATTTCATATTATCTTATATGTTTATGTCAAATTTTATTAAAGTTAAAAAATAATTTAAAGGTAATCAAAGTGTTCATATTTTAGTATATTTTGAAGTATATATATTAGATTAATTTTGATTTATATTAATGAAGTATCAAATCATTTTGAATTAATATATAATTTTGTATATATGATACTGGAGTAAGGAATTTTTAATATAATAGTAAGTTTTAAAAATAATGATTTAATTGAAAATTATTAAAAATATATATTTGTTATTAACTATTACATTCTTCAATAAATTTATATTAAAAATAAATTTTATCAATCAAATTGTTAAATTATAACTTCATATTTTCCAGAATGATAATCATTTAATTGAACATTATTGAGTGGTATAATAATTAATAAAAATTAATAAAAGTTACATTCATATCATTTAATCCTTCTTTTATATATATATATATATATAGGGAGCATATCAAGTGAGAGGAATTTATTATGAGAGGGTGAGAGGGTTAAAATATAACCCTTAGATTAATCAAGTGAGAGAAAATTTGGGATTTAATCAAGTGAGAGAAAATTAATCTAAAGGTTATATTTTAACCCTCTTACCCTCTCATAATAAATTCCTCCCACTTGATATGCTCCTTATATATATATATATTATATAAAAAAAACTAGGGCTAATGAAACATATTTATAATCAATTATATCTTTAATTATACTCTGCGCAACTATCATTTATATTAAGATGTTAAAGTTGACTTAAAGTTTGATTATTTATACATACATTCAGTAGCATTGATATGACATAATTGGCAAAGAAATCTAACCTCTAAATCCAAATTAAAATCTGTACAAATCCAGTGTTTCTCTGTCTCCTAAAGCATAATGATATAATTTCTCAGTCTCTCAACTAATAGTTCATAAAAGGCTTTCTAATAAACCCAAGACTCCTCTCTCTGCATCTTTAACTGTTTGTAGAAGTTCCCAATGAAGGCCTCAGCTTTTGCAAACAGCTCTTGCTCATTATTTATAACTCCCCCAATCTCATCTTCTGCTTCAATCTCCTCATCCATCACTTCTCCTTCCCTTTCTCCGCTTCCTATAAACAAAAGGTTTGGCATTGAAGAACACTTTTTCACCTTATCTACTTCTGTGACACCAACAGTCTTCTCATCACAAGCAGACTTTTCAGCAATCTTAGGCTTCTTTTCATCACTTCCACTGGTTACGTTAAGTGCTTCCTTTTCCTCAGAAACATGTTGCTGTTTGTCTTCCAAAGGCTTAGAAAAAGCTGAGATACGACCGGCTTCAGCTCCAAGTGCAATGATTAGAACATTAAAGATGAAGTAAAGGTAGGTAGGCCTGTAAGAGGAAGGTAATAAGGGTGTGATCCCAAGGAGAAGACCTAGTACAATGAGCACTAGAACTTCAGATTTGTTAAACTTGTTCATGACTTTGATGGACACAAGATAAGATAAATGATCAAAAAGATAGACAGAATAATTAAGGGTAGCAGGAAGTAATACGTAGGAATAAGTTGGGGGTTCTGGACATATAAATAGAGGAATGAAAGTGGAGTGTGGGAGAAAGAGACAAACAGTGGAAATTGTCACTTGCATCATTGTATAAGAGTTGTTGCCAGTGTAGTCAATAAAAGTACAAAAGTATTTGTGGGGCTGAACTTCTGAGAAAATTCCCACATAATATATAGTCAATAAAACATCATTGGCAAAATAAGGGACATGGGTTTCCCGATAATTACATGGAGATATCAGATGGTTTGAAACTATTATGTTTGAAAGTATTTTTGGTACCTTCAAATGTGATAGATGTTTGAGTTGTTGATGAAGGCTCTCACAAGTAACAGCAACCCCAAAGTGAGAAGCGGAACCTGTAAAATACATTTGTATAGATAACGTCCAAGTTAGAGACTCAACATTTGTATGATATGAAATTAATGATTATTAAAAAAATTTATAATTTAAGAAATTTAAATACATATTACATAAAGATGGACAGAAAGCATGAACATGCAGTAGACTACCTAACGGACAGTTCAATATTTGATGGAAGTGAGTTGTATTTATGCGGAAAGCCCAAACAGGTAATATTTTGTCTGTCATTGATAAAAGTGCTTCTATTTTACATTGCTTACCAAATTGCTGACATGCAATGTATTATTTAATCCAATTTGGAGGGAAATTAAAGGCAGGTAGATTTAATGATTTACTACTTGCAAACCAATTTCATGATGTTGTGTACAGTATTCAAAACATTATCAATGTCGGCACATGGCAATTACAAAACATTAACCACTTGGACCATTTTCTTACTTATCTTTAACTCTGTCGTGTAGTTGATTAAGTATTTTATTCACATTAGGAAAAAAATATTAAGTTGAGCTTTGACACAGAAGCATGACAAGATGAGATTATTGCCTTAGCCCTTAGCAAGTTGAAGACATTAAACTTGTTACTGTGATTAGACGAAAAGACAAAAACAAGGGACAAGAGAATATGCAAGAGAAAAAATGAATTTGAACATTATTGGATGTTGCATGATAAGGCCGGTGAAAGCATATTCCTCCAATAAGGTATTCACTTTATTTGTGGGCATTGATATGATTTGAAGGAAAGAAGGTAACCTCTCTTTTAAGTGTAGGGGAGCTTTGCCATGTTTCTGAAAGCCTCGGAGTGGTGGGTTCCACGCTTCTGATCTTATATATGTGGTGGGTAAATAGCTTCTATTAGATATTGAATTGGACAGGACTATTGTAGATAACAAAGTTTTTTTTTTTTTTTAAGTATTTAAGATATTTTGATTTGGATTTGCTATTACCCTTTTCTTAAATGAAAAAAATCATTTTTTCTCAATTTTTTTTCCTTACACCCTAAACATTTTGAGACACTATTTATGTATCTCATTTTTATCATTTAGGGTCTACTTGAATACTATGTATTTTATGTAAAAGTGCTTTTTGGATAAATTTACGGAAACAAACCCTTATCAGACTTGACTTGAGAACATATGTTTTTCGATAGCAAAACCGCAAAGATGGTTTAGGAACCTTATCACCCTGTGCTCATTGCACTCATAACTAAATTATGCTTTTAATAATCATAAAATTAAGGTATTAAAATAAAATATGAACTCCGATGTGTGTGTTGTAAAATAAAATTATAAAAAATTGCAGCAGGACCAAGAGTTACATTCCCATAGCCAAACCTTGAAAACTATTTTCTCATTTGGGAAAAATTTAAATCCGATCAAAACAGGTTTTTCATGTCAAAATTGAATAGATATTCACGAGTTAGAATATTGTTGTTATGACTAGTTTTGCTATCTTTGTCTCTCCATATAGGGATGCATTTGAGTTTGAATTTGAAAAAGAAGTTGATTTATATTTTTAAAACCTATATTTATCTTTGGCGAGTTTTATTGGGTTCAAAATACCTTTAGGGAGCCCATAACATTTTTTTTAGAATTTTAATTTATTATACATCTTAAATAAATTACATTGGAGTTATTAATTATACTATTTTTCAAATAAATAATAAATAAGAAATAATTTAAAAACAAAAAATTCAAGAATTAAATCATATTTTTAGTTAGATATGTAATATAATTTTCAATTTGTTACTTAATTATTCTTAAAATTTAAATTGCTTAACTATTAAAATAATTAATTTGTATTTTAAATTATAAAAATATAAAAATCTTAACTTTAATTTATATATATATATATATATGTATATATATTGTAATAATGAATTGTAAAAAAAAATACAACTATAAACATAGAGCAGGGAGAAGTGGGTGGTAATATCCCTGAACCCCATTTTCCGAGGGAAGGTTATCTCATTCAATCAAAAAATGTTTTCTTTGTGAAAATCGACTCAAGCTTAATAGGTACTCATGATACATGTTTAATTGTCATGCATCTTTAAGTGTGTCATTTGAAATAGATGTGTTTACTCGTTTAAACATGCTACGAGAAACCCATTATTTATAGGATAACCAAAAAAAAAATAGAGAATGTAAATAGATACATTTTTTAATAAGTTCTTTTTGTTAGTTAAAATTTATTAAAAGTTATAAAATTTAACTAATAAAAAATGTATTAATGTTTGTTAATTGTATATGTTAGACACACTGCAGGCTTTGTGTATATCATGTTATGATTTCCTAATACATCAAACATAGGAATTCAAGTTTACCATCTCCACTAAAATGGTTAGTTGGTTACCTTATAAAGTAGAATCTATTGATGTTTATTATATATCCCATTATTGCCTTCTTTCTGTGCAAAGGAACAAAGAATAGTCACATTTCTCCAATGACAGGCACTGCAGCAGTATTAATTAGTATAGCACTAAAAATTCTTTGCTATATTGTCTGGTCATGAATTAACTTTTGAATTTAATTGCTGTCAAAATTATTTTAATTTTAGGATACCAATATTTTGCTTCAAAAATTAAACGGGATAGGAAAGAGAAGGAATCCTAAGTGTTATGATGAAGTTACAAATATTGACATATTTCACTATCTCACTTGAATGAAGTAATTAACCATAATTGGCAGAAAAGATAAAGATGTCACTACGTCAACAAACAGCTTGAACTCAGCTAATTAAGAGAGGGATGTGTTTTACAGTATTAATTAATAATTCAGAAAAAACATTAAATGTTGAAATTCAACATTCATACTACGAATTTTTTTCTGAAATAATATTTTTTTAAAAAAAATTACAAGAATGATCACTGTGCAGGATTATTTACCAAGATAGAACCATTTACTGTTCAAGCTCAGAATTCGGTTCCCCGGGAACCGAATTCTGAGCATCAAAATGTAATTTTTTTTGTTTTTTCAACTCAAAATTCGGTTCCCGGGAAACCGAATTCTGAGTTGGTTTTAAATTTTTTTTTTTTTTTTCGTGTATGGGGCAAATGTGGGCTGATCTGGGAAGCGGAACGGCCCGTTCCAAAAGCAGAACGGGTCGTTCTGCTTAAAGAAACAGAGTGCAAATTCTTTAAGCAGAACGGGACGTTCTGCTTTTGGAACGGGCCGTTTCACATTCAGAATTTGCACTCTGTTTTTTTAAGCAGAACGGCCCGTTCTGCTTTTGGAACGGGCCGTTCCGCTTCCCAGATCAGCCCACATTTGCCCCATACACGAAAAAAAAAAAAAAAATTTAAAACCAACTCAGAATTCGGTTCCCCGGGAACCGAATTCTGAGTTGAAAAAACAAAAAAAATTACATTTTGATGCTCAGAATTCGGTTCCCGGGGAACCGAATTCTGAGCTTGAACAGTAAATGGTTCTATCTTGGTAAATAATCCTGCACAGTGATCATTCTTGTAATTTTTTTTTAAAAAAATATTATTCCAGTAAAAAATTCTCATACTACACTTCATTAATTTTCAACAAAAATAAAATAAAATTGAATACATAAAATTATATTACAGTACATGTCATTTCATTGAGGGATGGTGAAGTTGGTGAGAACCAAAACCTTAGTGACTAGTAGGTAATGAGCTCTTTTTCTCTATTCCTTTCTATAGCAGATAATAAATTGTAATTGTAATCTCTGACAAACTAAGATCATTTGTAATGGAGTTGCTTATAAACAATCCTCTTGTTACATCATGCTACATCAACTCTTTTCTACTTTATGGATTGCTTAAATTTTAGTAAAGTTATTTGTAAAAATTCCAGTGTTAAAATTTAAATAACTCATAAAATAAAAAAGAGCTGATGTGACAGAAGAGATTGCTTATAAGCAACTCTCACCGGTGATGCTATAATAAGAATTTTCAACATAGAATTTTGTCTCTTCCTCTTCTGGCTTGCTAAAAAGAAAGACATTATGTAGACATTCTATTTTGGTATTTCCCGTGTGGTCATTTTACCTTGGAAAGTTGCTTCAGAATCTTTTTACAAGATGTTACTTTTATGGAAATGCTATTTGTTTTGTAAGAAGAAGAATAAACTTTTATGAAATGAAAGAGTTCGCGAGAATTGTCTTGATCGTCGGATTCATTTTATTGAACGTTAATCACTTATATATTATTCGGTGTAAAAAAATTTACACTGACAACTAATTATATCTCTTAATTGTGTCATGTCACTGTTAAAAGTAAATGTACTTACAGTGACATGACACAATTAAAAAATATAATTGGTTATCAGTGTAAAAAAAAAAATTGCACTGACGATGTACAGATGATTAACTCTTAAGTTATTATCAAATTTGATATTATTTATGTTTTATCTTTTCTACAACCAATTACAGTACCATATTCATCCCTCTTACAAAGATATAATTGTACTCCTGTAAGGACATAATCATAAAGGAAGCAGCAGAGTTCTCCGCATCCCTAATCATTTTAAAGATTATATATATATTTTTTATTTTGTGCATATAATATGATAAGATGAATTTTATTTGTTAAAAAAATACATAACCATTAAAACCGTAGACATTATGAAATTTGTAACATTTGAGGGGATGACACAGGCTTGAGACAATGTGGCTTGATCCATAGTTAGTCGCCTTTACAATAACTAATTATTGTATGATTCTATAATAATAAGAAAATTAATTTTTTGTAATAATATGTTTACCAAAAGAAATTACAAAAATACTGACAGAAGGAGGGCTCGATTAGCAACTCCCTTTTGGGCTAAACTTCTTACAATGTGTTCAGCCCATTAACTCACTTTAACTTGGGCCACCATTACCCTCATGAAGCCCAATAATTACATCCCAAAGGGCACGATCCAACCATGTGTTGGATGGGTCAAAACTCAAAATAAAGGTTTAATAGTGTATGAATGACAAATATTATGAATGACAAATATTTCATAGTTTTTTTTTTAATATGTAAATACTACATAATTGATACACATTAACTAACAGGAATCATTTTCTTATGGCTGTTGAAGTGTCCAAAGTGTATTTATTGAATGATTGATGAGGCTCATGGTACACCTTTTGCGGGGGTGGCTACAAAAAATGAGATCGACC